TCTCTCTATCTAAGTGAGGAAACAAACTCAGCACTATTGTGGACAATTTGCTCTTGTGCTCAGGTATCTAGGGAAACCAGTCACTAGGGCACATCAAGTCACCTCATCTGGAAACCAACCTTATTTTCAATCACTTTAATTGCTATTTAAATATTTAAAAACTGAATAGAATGGGCAATTCTCATATCCCTAAACCACAACCGCTGAACATAGGAAGCATCCTCATCTCTGACCTGTGCCCCCTTAGCCCACTCTTCCCCGGGCTTCTCACCAGCTATGTGCATTTTCTCTATTGCTTCTACAAGCTCACTTCATCAGGGCTTTACTGTTCTCTCTTTAAAATCTACTCAGCCAAAACAGCCCAACAGCTATAGTATGCATAAGCTGCTTTACCTTGATCCTGTTTTGTCTAGTCTAATTGTTTTCAGGTATTTACTGATTATTCTTGTATGATTTGTAGTTCTCTATAGCTGGCAAGGGTGGTTTATTTTGTATTTTTTTCATATCTGAGATGCACAGAGTGTACAAGCTAGCAATCTTATACTTTGTATCCAGATAGTAAAGAAATTGAGTTTTTAAATGGCATCCATGATTTGTTTACTTGGCAAGTGCTAAAATTCCACTCCATGGCCAGCGTTGTTCCAGAAATGGAGAATTCATAAACTGAACCAAATAAAAATTTAATGGGAGAACAGAAATGGACCCTTGGTCTCTGCCAGCAATGTAGCCAGCATGTACCTCTACAATTTATTCTATTATCTTCAATATCATGTTAGTGCGCCGCGTGGCTGTGGTCCATCACTTTGGCACCGGGATCCCTGGGACTGAGGGATGGGTGTTAACGAACCATGTTCTTAGGGTCTGGCAGCATACTGGGCACATACTAGGTTCTCGGAGAATGCTTGGAATGAACTAGACTACAGTATAATTTGAAAAATGTTACTTTAGAGCCTGTATGGGGTGGTGTTGGGAAGACAGGAGAGGGGGTTGCCCAGCATACTTTTCTGCTTCTTGGCTGGAATAAGCCCTTGTGGCCCAGTGACAGCCCTGTCAGGCTGCATTTGGCCACGGTTTCACTTGGACAGTAATTTTACTTAAACCAATATTGGCAGTCCTCACTTGGTGGATTGCATTTTTGAGGAGGCACTGTAATTAAGACGCGTGTAAGTTGGCTAAAGTCGGTTCTAACATTCTGAACAAGGACTTAAAATACATACTTTCGTAACAGAGGCCTATGCTTAGTAAATTTTGATATACCTATTATGCAGTATAAAATTTTCAAAGGTTAAACCAACTATTGTATGTTCCCGTTGGTGGGTAAATGGTGTTTAACCCATTACATTTATGTTTTGCAAAGAGGTTTCTGAATACACACATGAGAAACAGTTAAGAGACTGCAGCTCTTTCTGTGAAGTGATCCTAATACAACTTTAGGGGAGAAAGAAAATTTCTGTATGTCCCCCAAAACTTTTTTTTTAATGTTTTAAAATTTTATTTAGAATGACTTTTGTGTGTGAAAAGACACAAAATTAGTTAATTGAGGGTAACAAGCTTATGGCTTATGAGGTACTGGGGGCGTGGCTCCCTGATGAGTACAGGACTGTGAGGCCACTCCCAGATTACCCTTCCACTCATAAGCATTACCTCCCGGAGACTCGAACAAATCGGGTTAAGGGGACCTGGGGCCAGTGAGACAGGTTTCCAGGCGACAAAGCACATCAAGGGGTAATTTCTGGAGAAAGAGGCTCACACGTTGCTAGTTAGAAGGTCAAAGTGATGAACTGTATGAAGAGTCTGTGACGGAAACTGTACATCCATAGCACCCAGGAAGACCATTAGGGTTCTAGATGTGTGCACTCAGTGCCAATCCAAGCTTGTAAAGAATGCGTTACTGCACAGAGAGTATTGTAGGGCGATTTGTTTTTCTTACAACGGAAGGGAAAATGTTACCTGGCAGAATCCTACTAAACGGGAGGACCCGGCAAGAAATGGTTAAATGAACATGAATATAGTTTGAAGGTCAAAGCGAGTTAGGCATTCCTCAGGCTCTAAGTTTGTGTCCCCAAATCTGAAGGCTTGAGGCATGCTCTGCAGTGTTACTTGTTTTTCCCTGTTGAAATCAAAAGGGTTGTTTCATAGGGTCAGTGAAGAGTCTTTTTTGTTTGTTTGTTTGTTTGCAAACCTAGGTAGTTTATTCAGTTGTATACATCTAAAATAATCTTTTCTGTTATTTTCATTGTATAAGTAAATTGCAAATATCATAGTTTCATAAGATTTAGGAACGCAACACTTTTTGACGTTTCACGATTCTACCATCCCTCCCTCCCATTGGTGTCTCCATGCACTTGGTCCACACGTCTGTACACCCCCCCCCACATGTCCTGGTTGTCTCGTGTTGCACATAACTTGTAGCCTGCTCCACCCCCATTTTTCCACTTCGCAATAAACCTTAGCACTTACTCGAAGCCATTGCTTCTAATTCCCAGTGTGCTTTTTAGTGGTTATAGTATTCTCCTGTTGGTGTCTCAAATGTATCAGATTTGAGAGTGCATAATTAAGCTTTTTCTCCTGCTGGATTTATGCCTGACACCGTCCCAAAGGACTGCAGGGAGAATGAAAGGCACGTGGGAAATTCTGCATTCCTGAAGTCGTATCGGAGCAAGGGGTGGAATGAGGGAAGAGAGCTTTAAGGAACAGTAAAGATCAGCAAAAAAAAAAAATCTCGTAAAATTAATCCCAAATGCTTGTTGCTATAACTTTCTCACTTTTTGTCCAAAAGACTTAACTGTGCGGAATATATTTGAAAGCCAAATCAGACCTTGTAGGTAATGGCTGATTGAAGTATGGAGTCTTCCTCTATTTAAAACAATATAGATTGTTTTTTTTTTGGGGGGGGGGGTTCCTTTACTCTCTTCTGTTTCATCCATTGGGAAGCTTTGTTTGTCTTGGAAAATAATTCTGTAATGGAGAAGGCTGCTTGCCTCTTGAAAAAAACATAGCAAGGGAACCAACAATTTGTGGACATACTGGTCATGTAGTTTGACCATGATTGAGAGGCTCCTGTCCAGCTGTAGGCCTCTGTTTATTAAAATGTAGGCTACAGCATTTAAGGCTACAAATGACCCTGTAATAGGGTGACAGGCTATACTTCTGTGCCCACTGTTTTCTTCCCCAAGCGAAGAAGCAACGCCATAATTTACGGGTGGCTTTTAACCCATAGATTCTTGGTGTTCTGGCTCTACATTTGATGGTATTCAGTTTAGGTGCACCATGGTGGTCAGGTAGTACACAAAAGATGGGTGTATAGACCAAATGGAAAGGCAGGGACCTGTCAATTTTTTTTGGTTATAGCTTAAAAATTACCATTATGTAATGTATTTTAGACAACTGTTTAGACTTTTGCTAATTTCTGAAATTATTGTCTCAGTGTTTAAACATTTAAGCCAAAGGGACTTTTTATTTCAGTTATATTTCAACTCCAATTATCTATTTTTCCATTTTTTTTAATTTTTGGATTTCATTCTACATTCCAATCACAGTTCTCACTTGCATACTTACTCCCCCCGCCCCACACTCCCATAGCCCACCCCCAGTCTACTCCTCCTCACGAGTCATGGCTCCCATGAGGCGTCAACATAGTTTGGCACAATAGGTTGGGGCAGGGCCAGGCCCCTCTCCCATGCATTAAGACTGAGCATGGCATCCCCACCATAGGAAATGGGCTCCAACAAGCCAGCTCATGGACCAGGTTTGTGTTGTGTGTAGTGGGTTAGGGTACAGGACTAACTCCAATTATCTCTCAGTTTGTAGAAATGTATGCCTGAAGTCTTCTCAGAGTCCTTCAGACACGAATGTAGCCCTGGGGACCTGTAGAAGGATGGGGTGTGTGATTCTGTGAAGTTTGCATATCACTTTGGGTCCCGATGATCAGCAACAGTTAAATCTGGTGCAAGTAACCATTGACTACAATCTGTTGAGACCCCGGCCTTTCGGTTAACCAACCTGCCACCTCCTTTGCTGTTCCCCCAGGAAGCATACTCCTTGCTACCCATGCCTGCCACTGATGTCTGGCCCAGATGTCACCGGCTTTTCCCGAGAATCTGAATGTAGAATTCAAATCTATTAATTACTTTCTTTAAACACCTGGTTGGAACCTTATGTCTTTCGGTTGAAACATAGCATGTTTCTGATTCCCCGTTGCTTCTATCTCTGGACTTCATCAGTAGATTTATATATGTGATTGTACGTCTCTACCATAATCTTGAAAGGAGACTGGGTTTAGAGAGAAGCCCAGTCAGAACCAAAGCAGCTGCTGTTCCCTGTGCGACTTACTGTTTCTTAGTTCCCAGGGTCCTCATTTATAAATTATGTGCTCCACCCAACTGGGAAGAGTACATGGAAATGTATAGAGAGGCCTTTGGGCAGCGAGGTTTCCACAAAATGACTTCATCCTTCCTTTCCCCTACCCGTGTCACAGCATTTGATGAAAAAAAAAAAAACAAACAACAACCAAAAAAAAACAGGAAGATAACATTGACTGGTGCTTTAGGTAATCCAGCAGGCATGTAAAAATACTTTGAAATTTGAATTCTTAAGTCACTGACTATCTGCAAACAGAAACTACCGACTAGACTTCCCACTCTGCTTCCCATTGTGGAACTCTGGAAGGCAGTGCAGATTTCAGTCTTTGAGGTGACGTAATTTGTAGTAGGAGTCTATTCCTTGTAACCATCTACTTTAATCCCATTTGGACATCCAGACTTTTCTGGAGTCTCCTGCTGCCTCAGGCCCTTTGCTGGCACTCGGTTAGCAATGCAGAAAGCTGTTGAAGGAATCAGGCAGGGGTGAGTTAGAATGCTCTAACATAAGAAAATAAAAGCACTGGACATGTATTTCTTTGACCATTAGTGTTTTGGTTAAGGTCACCAATGAGTTTATGTAATGTGATTTGTAAAATGCAAAATATACCTTAACTATTTTTTTTCTTTTTGAAATTATAGGATGCAGAATAGAAAACTGTGACTCTTGCTTTAGCAAAGACTTTTGTACCAAGTGCAAAGTAGGCTTTTATTTGCATAGAGGCCGATGCTTCGATGAATGCCCGGATGGTTTTGCACCATTAGATGAGACCATGGAATGTGTAGGTGAGTGGGTCTTAATTCAACTCTCCAGTGTACATTTCCATGCCTATTGGTAAAAATATTCATATTGGATATAGTCACCCTAAAAGTACTTGAGTTCTATTGCTCATTAGAACAGAAAGGTTTGTTTGCTGATTCTAAATAGTTTAGACAGTATGATGATGGGTGTCTTTGTTCCAAAATTTGCTAGTTATGTATTTGCTGAGTTAACCTACTTAAGGGACTGATAAAGATTATCATCTGTAATATACCCATTTCTTATTCTCTTAATAAATTATTGGTACTTGCCTTAGTTTGGGTTTCTAATGCTGTGAGGAGACAGCGTGGCCCTGGAAACTCTTATAAAGAAAAAAAACGTTTAATTGTAATGGTGTACAGTTTCAGAGGTTTAGTCTGTTATCGTCATAGTGGGACGTGACAGTGTGCGGGCAGACATGGGGCTGGAAAAGGAGCTGAGAGTTGTACATCTTAGCCCACAGACAACAGAAGGAAACTGTGTACTGGTTGTAGATTGTGTGTATATGAGAACAAAGCCTGCCCTGTGATGAGGCACTTCCGTTGTAGATTGTGTGTATATGAGAACAAAGCCTGCCCTGTGATGAGGCACTTCCTCCACCAAGGCCACACCTATTCCACCAAGGCCACACCTATTCCACCAAGGCCACACCTGTTCCACCAAGGCCACACCTATTCCACCAAGGCCACACCTATTCCACCAAGGCCACACCTATTCCACCAAGGCCACACCTATTCCACCAAGGCCACACCTATTCCACCAAGGCCACACCTATTCCACCAAGGCCACACCTATTCCACCAAGGCCACACCTATTCCACCAAGGCCACACCTATTCCACCAAGGCCACACCTATTCCACCAAGGCCACACCTATTCCACCAAGGCCACACCTATTCCACCAAGGCCACACCTATTCCACCAAGGCCACACCTTTTCCAACAAGGACACACCTATTCCAACAAGGCCACACCTTTTCCAACAAGGCCACACCTCCTAATATTGGGGCGCCCTGTGGCCCAAGCATGTAAGCACATGAGTCTATGGGGGCCATAGCTATTCGAACCACCATAGTACCATTAGAGAAAAGCATTTCATTTAGAGAAAAGCAAAACTTCTGAGCTCTGTCATGCCATATGTTCTATTGCCTTAGCCATGCAAATAAACAAACCATGGTGTATCTTGTTTAGCCAGCTGTGTACCAAAAAAGTTGAAAGAATATTTTTTCTGCCCAAATATATATTTTCTTAGTGATTGGCTGTGTGTTACCTAGTTCATTAAAACAGCTTTGGTTGTAATTGAATGTTAGATGTATAGAATATATACTTTAACATACATAGTGTGAAAAAATAATCACAGGTTTGGGAAAACTTCATATGAAGTTTATATGTCAGTGTTGATTAAACGCTGTGGGATGTGTGTATGCACGCACACAATTGATCAGCTGGTCAAGTGACAAATGTGGATTTGATCTTAGCTGTAATTTCATGCTCACTTGCCTCAAATTTTAGTAGCTGCATAAATATCTGACTAGAAATGCGGCAGAGCTATGAATTATCAATTATGCTCCCTATCCCCTTAAATGGAGTGATTTTAAAATGGATCTTGGCAGTTCTTTCTTTAGAAATATTGCTGGAGCATTTTGCAGTTATAGATAGTTGGAACGTTTTGTGGAGGAGCCTTCGCTTAAATTATAAAATATTATAATTTGTAATTATAATATTCATGTATAAGTTAGTACATGCAGCTTTACCACCCATTTGAAAAGTGAAAAAGCCACAAAAAACATCTGAGTGTGGTCTTAGCTTCTGAGAAGCAAGAATCACACCCACTGCAAACTGTAAATGGGAAGTTCCAGAAAAATCCTTGACAGAATCCCATGCATCACCCTGTATAACAATTTTAAATGTGTTGCCCACTGAGACTGAAAACACGGTGTAATCATGAACTCAGGTCTCGTGTGAGGAGTTTTTCAGTCTAAAGTCTTATAGGAGACTCAACTCTGCAGCTTCACTATGCTATTTCCACCTGCACCACTGCTCAGTGGTCTTATAAAAGGGACACTAAAAGTTGCCTATACCTAGGAAAATAGATACTGTTTTTTTTGCAGCAGATATCTGTTAATTTTTAAGCTTGTATTATATGCTATGGGTACAGAGGCTAAATAAATACAAGAATAGATAGAAATAGGCCAAATCAGAACACACACACACACACACACACACACACACACACAGAGAGAGAGAGAGAGAGAGAGAGGTCCTTGCCAACCTCCCAGTACTTGTTTCCCAGTATTTGTAAAATAAACCAAACGCAGTTAGGGATTTGTGGTAGGGCAATACAAAATTAGCCTGATAGACGGTGGCTTCCACCGTGCAGTGACAACAGTGCCTTCTAGTTTGGAGATGACAGAGTTTTGCATTTAGGACCGGCCATCAGTAACCCTTCCAAAACAGGACAAATGGAAAGCAACAGCTCCTTCGTTACTTCTGTGGCATTTGTTTGTCTTAGCTGTCAGTGCTCTGTGATTTAAACAACCGTAGTTCTTGACAGATGAGTTCAGATCCTGTATACAGGGCTACATAAGCTGGGTATATATATATATATATGTGTGTGTGTGTGTGTGTGTGTGTGTGTGTGTGTGTGTGTGTGT